AACTTTTTGTGTGTGTGTGTCTACACGTGTTCACTCAAACGTGTACACTACTGCATCATGTGCATCATGTGCAGCCCACGCGTCAATCACACATTCCAAAACTTATCCAGGCTCAAAGTCTGCTTAGCTTCCGAGAGAGGGCGCATCCTGGGTCATCCTTGTTTCATGCGTACATTGCATCAGCATGTACAGATATATATCTATATAAAAGCATATATAAAAGCATACATACTGTATATATGAAAGCACGGGCTGTAAGCGTTAGCTTTGGTAATGATGCCAACATTACTTCTCATTGTCCCACCACGCCCACCATCACACGCGATTGTTGGGGTGGCTCTGGGTCAGCAGCCACTGAAGTCTCGGCGTGAGCGGACTTGTGTCGTCGCTGCTGCCACCACCGTGTCGCTCCCCAGCACCACCACCACCATCACAGGACACGTTGGCTGTTTGTCCTTTTCATTACCCCCCCCCCCCCAAAAAAAAAGCTATCCACCACTGGACACACTGACACCCCTCGCCTCCTTCTTTCCCCCTCCTTCCGTCCTCCCCGAGAGCGGGCGAGGGAGGAGTGGTCGTGGTCCAGCTGGCAGCACAGTGTGTCCTGCACTCTCTATTAAGTGAAAAGGCAGGCCCGGCAGTCTCGTTTTGTTGTCGTTGTTCGGGTTTAAAGAAGAATAAACCCCCCCCCCCCCCTTGCCTTTTCAATGAACGTTGCGTTACTGCGCTGAAGGCACCACGCTCGCTCGCTCACTCACAGCACCCGAGTGTTTGGACATCTATGAAAAAGAGCTTTGCAGCTCATCGGATTCCTCCAGTGTCAATAAATATTCTGATTGTGATTTATATGAATGGAGAGTTGCGTGTGCACAGGGTAGAGAGGAGACGTTTCTTCCCGTGGAATGCACGTAAATCCGTTTAATAGATAAGCTGATAAAATTATATGGAGGAATTACAGAGATGATATATATTTTTGTTATTTCAAGGCCTCTACTCGTATCCCATCAATCTAATTGCAGTTATTCATCAGCTATCGCTCTTTCATATCCATTCACCTGTTGGGAAGGGAGTTATCAGGGTCATTAGAAATCATCATGGGACCTCCTTTGCCAGTGTCAGAATATAAGAATAGTTTTTCCCCTTTTTTCTGGCAACAAAACAGGTGTTAAGATGTTAAAACACCAAACTAAAACCTTTTGCAAGGAATTATGTCTGCATTAACCACAGATACTTATGGTGAAAATACAATAAAAATATACTCTGATAATATATGCATTGACTTTTAAACTGATTGGTCCACACCAGAGACAGATTTCTTTAGAGCCTCGGCTAAAACAGTTGTTTAACCACTGTGTTAGACTCCACTGTGTTAGACTCCACTGTGTTAGACTCCACTGTGTTAGACTCCACTGTGTTAGACCACTGTTTGAGACTAGGCTCTAAAAGGGGAAAATGTATTATTTCATTAGAAATCAGTGAGGTATCTATAAATGCATCGTCATATGTAATTTAAATATATACGCAGAACTTATTCTGTCACAAACATGAATAGAAAATCTTTTGAGTCCATCAGCCTCTTGGCTTTTTCTGGCCTAGCATTATCCAGCAGAATTTGTTTAAACAAGCAAACTCTGAACTGGAGAGACCTGGGTCTCATCAGCAGAGTCAGGCTTGTTAAACAAAATAAAAAATAATGCTGCTGCGTTGCCAATAAGTTACTAGCGAGAGCAATCTCTAAACCATGGGGCCCTGTTCAACCCCTGTTTAATCTGTGTAGTTGCCAAACACTTTTCAGACACAGTTGTGCTGGCTCGTTTAGTCCAAGACCGAGTTTATTATAGCGCTGTGGTTGTGCTTAATTTCCGTAACTATTTAAATTTTTAATTCTTCCCATTTATGTGTTGTTGGTTGTTGTTGTGGAATTGAGAGCAGGGCACCATTGTGGAATGTCTAAATGTCACTCCCAAGGCAGCGTACAGTTTGACAAAAAAAATTGGCTTGCGGCAAATTTTGAGCCCTGGATATAATTTTTATATTTTTTTGTTACATATGCTGGAAGAATTAGAACACGGCCGGTAACTAAACGACAAATTATTTGTGACGTGAATGCTTTTTGTGCAGGCTAATCAATGATTTTCACGTGTGCCTGCTTCGGGAGAAATATGGATTTATTTTTGTTAAAGGAAAATAGAGCACACCATCTGGAATTAATTTCTGCGTTTTCATTGCGCTGGGCACTGAGCAGTAGCCCTGACAGGACAAGAGGAGCTTGGATAAGGAAAAAATGCGGCACGTCTGTTATGTTTGAGTGCGTGTAACCTGCTTGTTTGATCCATTCATTCTTTAATTTAAAAAATTGAAACGCTCGCAAATGTAACTTGAAAAAGGGACTGTCAGAGACGCGGGAGAATTACTCAGAAAAGTCTTGGAGAGTCCGACACGAGGGGACGATGCCCGACGCCTACGTGTGGCGCAGAGAGAGAGAGAGGAAGGAAGCAGTGAAATCCAGGCGGCTGGAGCCGTGATAGCAGAGGGCCTCGTCTGGCTCGGGAGATGACGAGGTTCGACGCGGAAGGCCGCTTTGAGGTTGGTCGGAGTTTGCGAGACGGGGGAAGCTAAACATGCCGGTTGACACCCAGCGCCACCACCGCATGTGTGAGCTTTGTATATAACAGAGGACGGCGTCTTTTTGGAGAAAAGCGTCGTTAAAACGGGGAAGCCAGTGAAGTTGAAATTTTGAGCTGCAGGCACGACCAATTTGTCCGCGCATCTGATAGAGGAGGCGTGTGTGCCGTTGTGACTGTGGGTTGACCCATGTGCAGGAGCTCTGTGATTTTTATATACAGTGTTTTTTTACGACTACTACTACAGCCGCTCCTTGGGAGAAATGCGTAAGCATTATGCAAGGCACGAACAAAAATATGAATGCGTTAACCTCACCGGGACCATTTGTGCCGTATAAATAAAGCACGAGATGTCTCCTTGTGAGTCGACGCTATTTCAAGTAACGCCGGGTATAAATTTAGTCGGGATTGTGGATGCGTGCTAATCAGATCGGATTTACGCGTCGGCTCATCCCCCCCCCCCTCTCCTCTTCCATTAATATTTATTTGTCTGTTATTCACTCTTAAATTGCGGTCAGGGCCGGCCACGTGTTTAATTGTGGCCGTTAATGTTCCATAATCTGCTGAGCAACGCAAGAGTGGCTTACGACCCAAAATAACAACGTCGAGTTTTCAACTAACAGCCGCCCCCGGAGCTTGCGTGCAGGAGATCACTTTTTCAACGTTTCGGACGCGATCGCTCTGGAACTTTCGCACAGTGGCTGAGACGGTGTTTGCCGTCGCGTTTTGAGTGCCTGCCCAGGTGTTACCTGGCCAGGTACACCTGGGCAGGTGTGTGCCCGGTGGCGGTGATTCGCGAGCGCGTCCTTTGCTTTGAGCCGTACCCACATTAATATGGATTTTGCAGTGGCTGATGAGATACGATGGGGAGAAAGTGGGGGCTCAGGTGCGTTGTGTATTTTGCGGTGTTGTGAGCTTGTGATTGGTCAGTGGGGGGGGGTGTTGCGTTGTTTCAGTGTGGTTAAATATTTTAAAATCCTTTTGGCACCGCCCCCCTTTGCGCGACCCCAACCCTGGTTGGCTGCCGCCCCGCGTATTGTTCCATGAAGTTCACTCTTTACCACGACACTGCAGTGTGTGTGTACATCTCTTTGTCTACGTTCTGCGTTCTACAGAGTCGCCAACACGTGGACCGGGACCCAAGCTGTGGTCCGGTCCGTAGTAGCTAGTCACGGTGTAATTAGTGTAGTTAGCGTGATGGTCACAGCCATAAGTTGTTATTCTGTTAAGGGGTAGTTACCCCGTGTGATTGTGTTAATAAATGTGGTGCCTCCAAAGAGAGTGTCTGCGACTCGGTTGAACCCACTACACGTCATTCAGTTCCACTATTCCATAGCATTGATACACAGCCACATGTTTTACAAAAAAAAATAAACGTTGATAAGACGAATAAATAGCGTGTGATCCCAAAAAATATATACAGACACGATGGTATTTAAAAACAATTTTAGCTATAGGCTTGAGAGGAACAAATAAGTCTTGAGTCTAGACCTGAGCTGTGACTGTGTCAATTGCACGGAGAGCAACACAGTGGCATACGCCTTGACTTTTGAAACACATAATAATGCCAAAAAAGCACTACTGCTGTTGCCTGGGTAACGGCCAACTCGGCACGTGGGATCGTATTTACTAATCCGTTAGCGTTACTTTGCTTCATTTGCGCATGTTCTATTGGATGTTGATCGTCGGTGCCGTGTTTTTTTGTTTTCAAACATTATTACTATTAAATAAAACTCTTAATTTACCCTGGTGATTTGGCGAGTCGCTTTGGCACGAACAAGCGGCGGTGGCGCACAGAGCTGGGGGTTGGTGTCCTCTCGAGCGCCAGGCGGCGCCGGAGGGAGCGGTGAGGAGCGTTACCGTAGCGTTGGTTGTACTCGGCAGTATTGTTCGCTGTCGTGATGATGGTTGTGGTGGAGGTGGTGGCACCAGTGGTGGTATAGTATGAGGAGCGGTGGTGCAGCGGTTAGTGCTACGAACCCGGCGACTCGAGTTCGATTACCGCTCACGGCCGACACCAGTGACGATTATCTGAACTGGTTCTGGGCCTCCCCTAGGTTGACTCGGCCTCAAATTGGTACCTGGTGCGATGTGTAAACATCGCCACTAGGGAGACAAAGGCGGCCGGGCGTGGTGTTGGCCACCCACACCCCCTTGTGTGCCGTGCTGGGTTTAATAAGTGCTCGCTAACAGCTCTTGCCCCAACAGTCTGTTAAAGCTATACTGGGGATCTTTGTCATTGGTATAGTATAAGTGTTTGGTGTCCTAATGGAAGCCACGGTGGTGGTGGTTGATGCCGGTGTGGTGCCTTTCGTGGCTTTGCGGCGTCAGTAACCCTCCGTCTCCTCCCTCTCGCGGGTCCGTCGCCATGTGCAGGACGAGCTGCTCGCCGTCTCCGAGAAGGTGGTGCTGCGCCTGCGGGACCTCGTGCGTTGGGCCTCGGGCGTCGAGCTGCCCCCCTGGGCCGGGGGCCCCTCGCCGGGCACCCGCGACGCCCCCTCCCCGCGCGGGGCCCACCGTCAGGGCCTCGCGTCGACGCGCGGGACGGCCGCGGTCTGCGGCCTCGACTTCGGCGACGTGGAGAAGGAGCGCGCGCAGCTCGGTGAGTTCTTCCCCATCCCGCCGTCCTTGCAGCTATCCCGTCCCTTTCCTATCGCGTCCGCAGAACAACTTTCTAGGTCACGAAGGCCTTGTTTCCACGAGATTGCGTGGACTGGAGCTGCCTCTATACCTCCCCCCGTTGAAGTGTCGCCAACTCCTTGAAGGGGAAAGACGCCAAAGGAACCTCAGAAAGTTGATAGGTGTCGCTAGGTAGACTTCTAGAGCAAGGGGTTGGCAATCTGTGGCTCCGGAGCCACATGCGGCACTTTAAGGACTGCTTTGCGACATTATTTATTAAGGACCACCGTCTCGTATTTACATGCATTATGGCTCTTGAAATTCAATTTTTTGTTATTTTGGTTGCCGACCCGTTCTCTAGAGTCATGAAATATGTCACGAGAAAATATACTAAGCGTGAGCCGTAGTAGTAAAGGGATACAGCAGAAGGACGTGGGAGTGTGGAGAGCCATGGGTGGGAAGTTGGACGATTTCTGCGGCGCCAAATGAAAAATTAGCCTTGGAAACGTTGCTTCAAAGCTGCGCCTGGTGCCTGCGTGAATTTCAAATTCCAGGCCCGCGGACGCTTAGTAAATTCTTGAGCAGTGTCTTGGTTCGCTGTTGTTATCGGCACCGGTAACAATAACAACAACACCACCACCGCCACGGTAATGCTGATGTTTACAATGCCACGTGTAGTGCAGGCGTGTAATCTTTAACAACACGGTAGCATGGCAATTATAGAAATGTAATTAACCTTTAGAACTTGGAAAAAATGTACACGATGGTGGTTAGCGCACTGTGATAATATTGAACCCGGCACACTGAATTCGATGTCGGGCTGAGGTTTTTGAGTTGGCAGCAATTAATATATGTGCGCCGTCCTCATTACTAACAACCCGTACTGACCAGCATGGTGAAGCATGGTCAAACAGTTCCCATGACTGACCCCGGGCATGACGGTGGCCTTCCTTCAGCAGTGGATTGACACAGGTCCTATATATAAAAAAAAAAGTGTGCAAATAGCATATCACATACACTCGTATACTATAACATGGTATGGTAATTTGTTTCAAACGTCACGCCGGGGATGGGCACGCGAATTTAATAAATAGACATGCTTTTTTCATAACGGGCACATTACAGATGTCCCGCGCGCTGTCCTGTTTGCGCACACATACGCTTGCGGGCTCCGTGTGCGCCCGTTGGTATTTTGCCGTTTCCGTGCCAGCGTTTTCCGGCGGTTGGCACGAGCACAAGGGATTAGCGGGGAGGTTTTTTTTTTTTTTGCCGCCGAGAGGGGGAGGAATGTGCCATCGGCAACAACGTCTCGTCCGTGGGGCCCTCGGCGTTGCACGGGCCCTCGACGTGCCGCCGGCCCGGTTGGCCACAGCCATCGCCGCCGCGTGTTCTCGAATAGTTTTCTCCCGCGCATTGCTAATGAGGCGTCCCTTGTGAATGCAAATGCTCGATACTGTAGGTTTTTTTTCTTTTGTTTTGTGTGTGTGTGTGTGTCTCTCTCACTGTGCCCTGCGTCTAATGGCATTACAAACAGATTTATTGCTCAAGTGAGCACTGAGGCGGTGTTCATTTCCTGTTGACAGCCCTAAGCCAAATTCCACATTACTATGACGGGGAGGTGGGCGAGTCTGTCCATAGCCCATCCACTTGCCTTTTCCACAAAATGGTACTCATTGTATCGATCCCGAATAGATAATGGGTTGAGTGAACTCCCAACCAGGCTTTGATCTCGCAACCTTACGATCGCGTGCCGCTCACTCTCCCGTTGAACCACCTGGATGCCCTGCATCTCGGGGGGCCTTACAATCGTATTGCATTGTTGGGTGCCTGGTTAGTCATTGTAATTAAAATAATAACGTACGCACCTTTGGACGGTGGTAAGCCTCCCCACGCCGCGTCTACGTACCTGTCAACCCATACGTTTTACCCCGTATTCTTGTACCGGGGAAATTGAGTGTTTCAGGTCCATACGGCATACAGCCATTTCCATACGGACAAAAACTATTTTGTCTATTTGTTTGTGTTTTTTCCCTTGTGATGGGAAAGACTTGGTAGGATGAACGTTGATATGTTTAAGGGCACGGGGTGACCAATAAGATCTGAATTGGTCTGTCATTAGGTAGGAACTGATAAGGATGTTGACAGATACAGTATGTGTCTATCGTGGACCATATTTCGCCGTACTATTCAGTGTGGTTTGGTGAAGGGGGCGTGGGCACAGGATCGGTACCCATCTCACTCGCCACTGATGTTAGCCGTGGCAGTGCGCCAACCGCTGAGCCAACTACCCTCCACCTGGTTATCGCTGTAGATTAGGAAGGTGTTCCCGATGTTAAAATTAATCTGAAATATGCAAAAATCTGGCCCAGATATTACATTTTGTATGGTTTGGAAAAAAACATTTGTTGCAGATTTATCTGAGAGTGATGTCATGATAAATTGTCACATTACATCACTTCCGTACTTTTTAACCGACACAAGTAGTGGGACTTGCATGAACAAAACTTCAATTGACAAATAGTGCAGCGTACTCAAAAATACGGAAAACAGATCAAAAATTGTGCATAAAAATCCTAATTTTTAATCGGAAACCTATCCAGATAGCATTTACGAAGAGGCATTAACTCATTAATACCTAGTCTCTCATTTTCCTGGGTTTAAATCAATTGAATAAACGCCGTTAAACAGCAAATTGCAAACGTAGAAACAGAACAGACACTGAAAATAACACGAGTCGAAAAAGTTTTCCTCGCAACAAAGAAAGACAGTTTGACTTCTACATACCCAATATATATCCGATATTAAAACGAGCAAAATCATCAGCACCAGAGAGCGTTGGCCTGGCGGCGAAACTGAAATCCGGCGCAGGTGGAATTGGCACCAAAACGTGTAGTAGAGATGCAGGAGCGTTCCACATTCAAAAGACATTCCCCCTTCCCACCACAATTTAGTACAGTGTTGACTTCTGGACCATGACATAACAATTTTTGAGCTCGTCTTAAATGATCCGGTGTAACCCGATACCTCCTGGGAAGGCCTTATTGCCAGGAGGCATGCGCTGGACTGAGTGGCTGGCTTTGTGACCCCCCCTCGCCTCAATCGCATTTTGACGTTGCTGATACGGGTCGGTATGGACAGCCCTAGAAGTTTTATTATCTTTATTGTCAGAGTACGGTCCTTAGTGTGGGTCCAGCCTGCAACGATGTCCCACACCCATCGCCTTGCCTCACCCACCGCCACGACTGCCACCAGAGCTCAATAAAACATGCAATCCACAGGCACGGCCGTGCTTTGCTTCTGAAAATCCACAATGCCCTCGTGCCTAATTTTAATTTCCGCGCCGTGTAGATCGGCGTTTTTACACGAAAACACACGTGGTAGTTTTCAACACGTTGGCGTTATTTTTATACGACAGTTCTACTGGTTTCTTTTGTTCGAGGAGGCCCTGCCTCCGGCCACCGCCTCGACCTTCCTTCACCACCACCACATATGTGCCCTCCCTCTCCACCCACAGTCTGGCCCTTTCAACTACTTCCCTGGACGTATGAAGCCAGTCTTTGTCCCATCCTGTTTGCTAAGGGGCGTCCTGCTTGTGTAGATAATTATTTTTGCATCTTAATCAACTGCCGTCTTCAGGCTATCTCGGCTAGAAGCTGAGGCAATGGCATATATATTTAAAAGCATTCTGAAACAAACTCAATCTCCCTATATATAGCGTTACAGTACGTTCCTTTGTGTGTTTTGATAACGATCTAAAACAATTTAGTCGCGAGACAAGCTCCATAAACGTTCGTGGCCGTTGTGCCTCTATACAGCGTCTTGCCCCAGTCAGTATGCTGGACTGTTGCAGGATATACATCTGCTTTTTTTTAAAGTTGTGCAGAGATTTTTTAATTGATTTATAAATAAATAGGTGTTTGTGTAAACGTGAACATTCTATAAACACTTGAGGCTAAATAGAGCTCCGATTATGCCATTTCGGGGTCCACGGTTGAACCTGTTTTTTTTTTTAAACCTTTTACTCATTGTACTTAAATGGAAATGATAACATGCTAAATCTACCAGTCTATAAATACAAATCGTAAATTGGCCATGTACTAAATATACAGTGTTTATTTCTATATGCACACGCGGTTGACAAGTAATGAAGGTTCTTGTTGGCGCAAATGTGCCACTGACGAACAAGCTAAATCGCACGGCGGTGCACGCGCACATACACAAGCACCCCGTCGTCCCGCGCCACCCCGATGGATTTACCAATCCGTCCAGGTTCCCACGAGGGCTTGACTAAGATTTTAAATGAAGGAGATTTGGAAATACTGTAGTTGGGGTCGCGACGAACCAGAGTTTCAGAAAAAACGCAAATGAAACTCGTTGCTATAAAGTAGGGCCATTGTCGGTCTTATTCCCCTGTTGTATGCATTTTTTAAATCATAGGGCAGTGTTTTTGACAAATGTGTCGAGTTGTTATTTGTGTTTGTGCACCATTGCCACCAGCGTAGCATCACAGTATTGGGTTTAATTTTTATTGCTTGTGTTTGGGCATTTGAGTCTTGACCCCTCCCCACTCCCCTCCCCACTCCGTTAGCATGATCCCACTTGCTGCACTGCATCGTGACCGCCGTTGGTGGTGGTGGTGGGGGGAGCTTCCCTCGGCTGGTGGGGGAGGGGCCCATCGTTGCCGGCGAGTCGTTGGCATATCGGTCCCGTCGTCGAATAATCGCTCGCTCGGAGGCCCACCGGTTCCTGCGAACGATTCAAATGTCGCTGTGGTTGCGTCAGGAAGCGATTTATTTCGGATGGAAGGGGATAATTGGCAAATTAGCTCAAAATGGAAGCAGTCCAGTGATTTTTATCGGAACGAGCCGCCGCGGAGGGCCCACAATCAATATTGGCGGAGTGGGTTTGCATAAACCCATTTCACGTTTCCTGCGAGCCGGCTTAGAAGTTGTCCGCGCTAAACGGGTCTGTCTTGTTTCCCTC